GATTACAGGCACGCACCACCATGCCCAGCTAATTTTTTGTATTTTTAGTAGAGACAGGGTTTCACCATGTTGACCAGGATGGTCTCGATCTCTTGACCTTGTGATCTGCCTGCCTCTGCCTCCCAAAGTGCTGGGATTACAGGCTTGAGCCACCGCGCCCGGCTATTTCTACATTTTTTAAAAAACAATTTTAGGTAAATTAAGGGCCTGTTTTAGGGAAATGCATTCTATTAAGCTACTTATAGTCTGGTATTTTCATAAAAATAAGTTCCTAAGCCCCTCTCAAGGTAAGGAAAGGGAAGGCATTTGTTTACGGAAAGTTTCATTTAATTTCATATGGAAACAAGTTGGAATGCAAAGAGTATTTATCTTTTTTCTTAGATTTAAAAAAATACATGTAAGAATGACAGTTCTTGTATTAAAATATTTTACCCAAAGTGTAGACTTACCTGTATTCCAGCATGGCTACAGAGATAAAAATCAAACTCATATGGGTGTGTAATGTCTGTATCAACTGTTGTTCCAGCTGGGATATTGCCACTTCTTCCAACCTAGATTTGTTTGGCCAAAGTTTAAACAAACAAGAAAAAGGTAAAAAATGTATTTGAAAGCACTTTAAAAAATGTATGCATATATAGGCTGATCCTATGTTTACTACTTTCACTTTGAAATATAACTTAAGCAATCATTCAGAGCAGAGCTTATGCAGGTCCTGGTTCCTGTTCCTAAATGTTGCTGAAAGGGAATGCTGATACACAACAAAGCCTCATACAGTCTCTATTACATGCTTCGCTAATAGTCATACGGGCAAAGACACTAAAAAAAAATTTTTTTTAAATTAGCTTAAAGTGCTCCAGTTTATGGTACCTGTGCATAGTAGGCATTCTTGAGTGTGTGATACATGAGGATAAGCATTTACCTTGGAGACAACTTTTAACACATTATTTCTAAATCCTGGTAACAATCCTGCAAGTTAGGGATTATTTCCATTTGTTTAGCAAAATAAAGGCTCAGGAATAACAAAATGATTCGCTCAATAGCACACAACAAAGGGGAGAATTGAGATTCAAATAATGAAATAAATTGCAAAGGCCTTATTCCTTTTATTTCATACTATCAGTTTCAACATCTAGAACAGATACCATGATTTTCTCTGAGTGTATATAACTGAAATGACTCAAAATTCTTGATAATGCAAGCTCCTTATAAAAGACTTAAAAATGCTTATTATACCCGCCTCCACTGCCCTATCCCAACACATTTAAAATTCTTAACTGTAAGTCTAGGTTTACAAGGCTAGCAAATCAGAAACTATTTTACTGACTCAGATATTATTTTTGCCATGCGAGTGACTGTTACAAGGTGGTATCTTGAATCGTAGCCGTATGGAACAACTAGCTACACTTTACCAAGCACAAAACAAAACAGTTTATAATCTACAAAATTATGCCAACTCTTAAAAAAATACTTAACTCTAATAAATTAGCAACACATAAATCTTCTAATTAATACATACAAAAAGTTGTAGGCTGGGTGTGATGGCTCACACCTACAATCCCAGCACTTTGGGAGGCTGAAGTGGGTGGATCACTTGAGGACAGGAGTTTGTGACCAGCCTGGCCAACATGGTGAAACTGTGTCTTTAACAAAAATACAAAAATCAGCCAGGTGTGGTAGCACATGCTGTATTCCCAGCTACTCAGGAGGCTGAGGCAGAAGAATCACTTGAACCTGAGAGGTGGAGGTTGCAGTGAGCAGAGATCATGCCACTGCACTCCAGCCTGGGCAGCAGAGTTAAACTGTCACAAAAACAGAAACAGAAATAAAAACCAAACCAAAACAAAAGAAAACTACCTCATAATGTCGTTGGTGAGGATTATTAAATTTATAAGCAATACTTGGAACAATGTCTACTATTATTACTTCTTCTTCTCTATTACTACCACTATCACCACCACTCTACAGCTAGCCAAACTTTATTTATTAATTTTTTTTTTTGTTCCCATCACTCTACTAATGAGAACTAGCCAAACTTTACCGAGTCCTTAGTATGGGCCAAACCCTGTTCTAAGCACATTGCGTATTTTATTTAATTCTCCCAACAACCCATATAAGGTTGAATAATATCAATATTATCCAATCTTGCTAAGAAATAAACAGGCACAGAGGTGTTAAGCGGCTTGCCCAAAGGAGTACAGTGAGTATGTATGCCAAAGACAAAACACTCCTTAGTTCCTTTCTATCAAATCCCTTTCTTAACACCTGGTATCACTAGATTTCTCTGCTCCAAGATTTGCAGGATGAGGGCAGATGGGATCAGAGCACTGAAAATGACAGTAAGGCTGCTGTCTTGCTGCATACAGATAAAAAAACATATTTCCTTAGGTATTTATATCTCTCTTTCCTAATTATAAAACACATACATTCACATTATAAAATGCATAAAATAATTCTGTGAACTTTAAAGGAAACATGGCTTAAAAGTTAGTTTGTATAAATTTCCACTTTTTTTTTTTTTTTGAGAGGGAGTCTTGCTCTGTTGCCAAGGCTGGAGTACAGTGGCACCATCTTGGCTCACTGCAACCTCTCCTCTGCCTCCTGGGTTCAAGCGATTCTCCCGCCTCAACCTCCCAAGTAGCTGGGATTACAGATGTGCACCACCATGCCCAGCGAACTTTTGTATTTTTAGTAGAGACAGGGTTTTACCATGTTGGCCAGGCAAGTCTTGAATTCCTGACCTCAGGCAATCTGCCTGTCTTGGTCTCCCAGGGTGCTGGAATTACAGACGTGAGCCACTGCACCTGGCCTGAATTTCTGCTTTTTAAAAAAACTAATTTGTACAAGATATTTTAAAAAGAGAATGTACCTTTTTTCCTGAAGATTTTAGGAAAATATGAATAGAAGAATATTTTTAAAACTATCAGTTTCTTCACAACAAAAATGTAGAATGAGATTTTGGACATTTGGAGCATGACTAGAAATTCTGTTAAGTTAAAAATAATCTATTTCCATACTCATAAAGTAATTGTTCAAATCTGCTACTATATACTGGAAACCCTGTTATTGGCAGAGGGCCCTTGTTGAGTGCTCTATGAACTCTGTTGAATAAGCTTGGTTTATAATAGTATCACAACAGAGGTGAGATTACCCTTTCTGTCCTATCAGCACAAAATAATCGAGTATGATGTCTCTTCTGAACTACAATGTAGGTTATTCCAGGTTGATAGTCTTTCTCCAAACTGATGCAGGCTTCTCGAATTGCTAGTAGTTCATAATATAATACCTAGAGAATATAACATGGAAAGATTCAATACAGTCAGCTATTTGTTTTTATATACTTCAAAACAGAATAATGATCTAACCTCAGGATTCCTTAATCTCATCGCGCTATAACTAATATGCTTCTTGATTCCATGTTAACGATTAGCAGAACATGGTCTTAGCAAGCAAGGCATACACATTCACAATGAACATTTAAAAAAAAAATCTAAGAAAATACCAAGTTTTGCCTTGGGAACTCTAACAAGCTTTTTAGCTCCAGAACTAGACACCACATTATAAACACAATATCTGATTTCACCATAGTCTGATGAGATTCTAGGCAACCAACCTGCCTAAACTGCCCCTCTGAAACACCATCCCGATAAAAGATGATACGAGTAGGCTTGAACCGAGTTGACTTATAAAACTGAATGAGAAGTTCCCGGACCATGGAGGCCAAGTCCTGGATGATCTCCTGTCGGGGTCTCTGAACTCTTACTGTGGCACAGTATCTGCTTGGGTGGGCATCCATACTACCTACAACCTAGGTTGGAAAAAAAAAAAAAAAAAAAAGAAAAAAAAAAAAAAAAAAAAAAAAAAAAAAAAAAAAGAAAAGAAAAAAAGAAAGATAATCAAAATTACATGAATTTAATTTACATTTTTATTTTACTGTAGCCTGACATTTATCACTTTACTTTGAGAGTAATCAAAAACAGCAATTCTGAGTTGGATACAATGGTATGTGCCTGTAGTCCCAGCTACTCAGGAAGCTGAGGTAGGAGGATCACTTGTGCCTATGAATTTGAGGCCAGCCTGGGCAAAATAGCAAGACTCCATCTCCGTCTGTCTCTCTCTCTCTCTTTTTATTTTTTTTGAGACAGAGTCTCGCTCTGTTGCCAGGCTGGAGTGCAGTGGCGCGATCTTAGCTCACCGCAACCTCCGCCTCCTGGGTTCAAGCAATGCTCCTGCCTCAGCCTCTTGAGTAGCTGGGACTACAGGCACGTGCCACCACACCCAGCTAATTTTTGTATTTTTAGTAGAGATGGGATTTCACCATATTGGCCAGGATAGTCTCGATCTCTTGACCTTGTGATCTGCCTGCCTCGGCCTCCCAAAGTGCTGGGATCACAGGTGTGAGCCACTGTGCCCAGCCTAACCCATCTCTTTAAAAGATTTAAAGAAAAATAGTACTTCCCAGTGAACACTAGAACAAAACACTAGTATAGGATAAAAAACTATTTTCCTATAACTAGGCTGAACTATACACTTAACAATTAGATTCTTCGTGTTGTTGGTATACTTAAGGATTAGTGAGAAAAGAAAAAGACAAAAAGATGTGCATAAGAGAATAAGAGAAAGGAAATAAGTAAAAATGAAGACCAGTTCAAACCACTGATTTTTCTTCATATCTCTTTCACTTTAGCAACCTATCTTAGAAGCCATACTTAAGATTTTAGCTTCATCTTAGAACTGTTATGCTTCATAAATTTTAAAATCAGAATTTTCCCTTTTGGCTTGAATCTATGCTCAGTCGTATTGAGCTGTATTTGTGTTCTGTATTTGGTCCTCAGAGAAGTTAATCTTGGTTTTGAAATTATTAATTTTCTCTTTCTGTGTCTAATATTGTTATGTCTTTAGAGAAGAGACCTTAAAGCATGAACTTATGACATTATTCTGATCAGAGTCTAGGCTGGTCATTGCCTCCAGACTCTCTTCCAGGTAACCTATATCAAAGTCATGCTTCAAAAATGGAACTTTGACCATTTCTTTCCCTTGAAGGGTATCTCGCTGCTAAGAATAAATCCATACCCCTTGGATGGAGCAAAATGCCTCACAAAAGCTTCCTATCCTTATAGCCTGCAGTATACTATGTTCCAACTCCTTGTATTTCTCAATATTCCCAAAACACACCAGGTTCTTGCAACGTAAATGTTGTTATCTTGTTATCATGATAACACCTATTATACTATGTGGCACTCATTACTTACATTAGTTTCTCACACTACTCTCTAAGTTCTTGGGAATGGAAGCCATATAGCAAAAAACAATCAACAAATAAATTCTATTTACAAGACTTCTGATAACCATAAAAGAAAGTGGGTATTTGGTGGAAACGGATTTAGTAGAAAAAGACAATGACTACCAGAAGTCCAAAGGAATTAAAATATGCTTTAAACCTTCTTAGAAGATGACCCCAAAGTAGCAAATCCAAAGAAATCTTTTGAGTTCCTTTCTTTACCATTTTATCTTCTATAAGAACATTTTAATGAATATTAGAGATGACTCAATATAATTACTGAACATTTAAAGAAAATAATTCATGTATAACATTAAAAATACAAAGCAACAGAACAGATAAAAGTTAATTTCCTTTATTAATGAAAACAGCTTTAAAATTTTTAAGTGAAAATTTAAATATTACTATCATTTTCAGGGATGAATTAGATTTATCAGATTTATAAGACTTAAGATTTATGTAAAGATTATAATGGATCATAGAAAAAATATTAAATCTTTATTTATTTTTTTTTTGAGACAGAGTCTTACTACAGCCTAGGCAACAAAAGTGAGACTCTGTCTGAAAAAAATAAAATAAATAAAATAAAGAATTCAGGTGCAAAGTATTGAATTGGATGAAGGTGGAAGACATTTTACATGTAAAAAAATGTAATCCACCAAGCTTATATGTAATGCATCTCTCTACGACGAAGACATTACTGAAATATACAAACAAACTACTCAAACAACAAAAAGTAACTAAAATGCATAATCATGGAGAGGTCAAGTAGACAAATTAAAGTAGAATACAGAAGATTTGAATAATATAACTAGGAAACTTGATATAATATACACATATGGAACCTGTAAACCCTAAACCAGAGAATAATCATTCTTTTCAAAAACCCAAAGAACATTTATGAAAGTTGGCTACAAAGAAAATGTTAAAATTCAAAAAGTTGAAACTGCAAAATTGATACTGGTCTGTAAACTTTAGATAAGATAAACCTGGCTAACACTCACAGCAGCAATAGAAGGCTTCTTCCCATCACCAGCAGGTGGATGAGTGACATCGGCTCCCAAAAAGATCACTGGTTGCTGGAACACAGAAGGTCTTAAACACATTTTTAAAAAGAGTTAGATATCTCATTTTTTCATTATCCATTTATCTGTTTCACACAATTACAATATTACTTAAAGTTATTGACAGCACAGAGGAAGTCCTATGTAATCCAAAGTCTTATTCCAAGCAGAATTTTGCCTAAAATAGTTGTGCTAGTGGTTGAAAAGGGCAACAGATGCTAGTATTCTCCATGATGGGCAAAAAAATTATAAACTTCATTATCATGATCTACAAATTTTTATCACTCTTTAAAAATCGGCTTGTATTATAAACTTATGTTTCTTAAGGAAAAAAGGAGTCATTACACTTTAGACTGGAAGGGATTTTGGGACTCCACTACTCCAACTCCCTGGCCAAAAAAGTATAAAGATGAGTAACATATATTCAATAATCATAAAGTAGCTAGCATTTCCTTTTATTTTATTTTATGTTGTTATTGTTTTGTTTATTTTTTTTGAGACAGGGTCTCACTGTGTTGCCCAGGCCGGAGTGTAGTGGCGTGATCACGGTTCACTGCAGCCTTGACGTTCTTGGGCTCAGGTAATCCTCCCACCTCAGCCTTTGGAGTAGCTGCAACAACAGGCATGTGCCACCACACATGGCTAATCTTTCTATTTTTTGTAGCGATGAGGTTTCACCATGTTGGGCTCGTTGATAAAATTCTATATTTACCTCATTTACAGATCTCATCTCATATTTAACGGGGGTAGAAAGTAGAGGTGGTATGGAAAAAGAGGAATAATAGGACTTTTGTGTCAAACAAACATGGGCCAGTCCTTGTTCTAATGTTTATCTGTGGTGTATACTTAACTTTTTTGAGGCCTAATTCCTTCAACTATGAAAAGAGAGCTTGTTCAATTCTCTGAAAATTGGCCTCTTCCTCAGTGACTTGCACAATAAGCTACCTCCTGTTTCTAGGTCATGATGTCTCATACGTCCTAAGATTCCAGCTCTAATAGGGGTGACCTAACAGTAATATGTTGTCTCACTGACTACAGCAGGAAGGCTAATATGTCTTACTTAATTGACTAATCTGGGCCCCCAGCCCTTCTCTGCTTCACATTCCAGGTAAGTGAGAAGCCTCATGAAACCAGGTTGAAGATGACTACCAAATAAACTGAAAATTCTTCAAGCTGGGCTCTCCATAAGAAATAAAGCCCTGGATACTTTCTGGCTAAGAGGTACTTTGCATACTAAATGTAAATTGTTGGGGCCTGAGCCCCTATGCTGGGGCCCACTCCCACCCTGCGGAGTGTACTTTCATTTTCAATAAACCTCTGCTTTTGTTGCTTCATTCTTTCCTTCAAAAATAAAATAAAATGAAATTGTTGGAGGGCACTTTCACAAGAGGATCTCTGAACTTTGCCAATCCAAATTATTTTATTTTTTTACTAAAATGTCTATGAATCTCCCACAGTAGGAATTATTAAGGGTGTCTCTTTCACAATTCTTATAGTAGTTACATATGGTCATATATAGACAAATGAAGATATAAAAATAATATTTTCACAAGCAATTAGCATATCTTACCTTTGATGAGGTACAAGAATATTATTGATCCCTCCAAGTTTAACATTTATCTTTAGGCACAAGTTTGAGAGAGTTTGAGGAGATGTTTTTATTACATTCTTGACTTGAACACATTGTGTAGCCATACCCAAAAGTGTGTCTCCTACACGTTTCACTTCCGCTGTGGAACAGATGCAAAACCTCTAGTCAGAAAAAAAGACCTGAAAATAAAGCTACTATGTTTCCCCCTTAAAATACATCATTGTACTACAGAATACCAAAAGTAATGCCAATACAGTAGTACTAAGGCGATGCTGTTAAATTCGAAAGTATACTGCTTTGAAGATTAGCTTTAGTATTTAGTGACAACTTTTCTAGTTGTTTTCTCCTTTGTATAAAAAGGTATATTGTGACCACAGTGTAACTACAATAACTGAAAAGCATAAAGAGAAAAATGTATATAATCCATTATTGTTTTATAGTACTCTTCCAGTAATTTTCTCATTTATATTATTTTAACGTACTTGTAATCACAGTACACTTACAGCTTTCAATCCTATTTTCTTATGTTTAATTTAAAAATTCAGAGGTATTACAACACAAAGAATAAAAGTTCCTGTTCCTTTCCCCTCCTTTGCCATTATAACCATCATAAATATTTCAGTGTACATAACTTTTTTTTTTTTTTTTTTTGTTTGTATCTCATGCTGCCACCCAGGCTGGAGTGCAGTGGCACTATCATGGATCACTGCACTCTTGACCTCCTGAGCTAAAGTGATCCTCTTGCCTCAGCCTCCTGAGTGGCTGGAACTACAGTCATGCACCACCACACCAATCTTCTCTTTTTTTTTTTAAGTACAGACGAGGTCTCACCATATTGCCCAGGCTGGTCTCAAACTCCTGAGCTCAAGTAATCCTCCTGCCCCAGTCTCCCACTGCATGCAGCCATAATTTCTTTCTTTCTTTTTTTTTTTTTTGAGATGGAGTCTCATTCTGTTGCCCAGGCTGGAGTGCAGTGGTGTGATCTCAGCTCACTGCAACCTTTACCCCCGGGGTTCAAGTGATTCTCCTGCCTCAGCCTCCAGAGTAGCTGGAATTATAGGTGCGTACCACCTTGCCTGGGGAATTTTTGCATTTTTAGTAGAGATGGGGTCTTGCCATGTTGCGCAGGCTGGTCTTGAACTCCTGAATCAGGTGAGCCACCTGAGTGCTGAGATTATGGGCGTGAGCTATTGTGCCCAGCATAAATGCTTTTTTTTTTTTTTGAGACGGAGTTTCGCTCTTGTTACCCAGGCTGGAGTGCAATGGCGCGATCTTGGCTCACCGCAACCTCCGCCTCCTGGGTTCAGGCAATTCTCCTGCCTCAGCCTCCTGAGTAGCTGGGATTACAGGCACGTGCCACCATGCCCAGTTAATTTTTTGTATATTTTTAGTAGAGACGGGGTTTCACCATGTTGACCAGGATGGTCTCGATCTCTTGACCTCGTGATCCACCCGCCTCGGCCTCCCAAAGTGCTGGGATTACAGGCTTGAGCCACCGCACCCGGCCATAAATTCTTATAGATAAGAAACATACAAGGATGAGTGCAATGTCTCACATCTGTAATCCCAGCACTTTGGGAGGCTGAGGTGGGAGGATTGCTTGAGCCCAGGAGTTAGAGATCAGCCTAGGCAACAAATCAAGACCCTGTCTCTACCAAAATTTTAAAAAATATTAGCCAGGCATGATGGTATGTGCTTTTAGTCTCAGCTACTCAGAAGGCTGAGGTAGGAGGATTACATGGGCCCAGGAGATGGAGGTTGCAGTGAGCTATGATCATGTCATTGCACTCCTTAAAAAAAAAGGGCAAATGACAATACATATTTCTCTAAAGAAGATAAACAGAAAAATGACCCATAAGCACAGGAAAAGATGCCAAACATCTCTAATCATTAGGAAAACACAAAATCAAAAACATTATGAGATACTGCTTCACACCGATTAGGATCAGAAAGCCAGAAAATAACAAACACTGGCAAGGACGTGGAGAAATTGGAACTCTTGTGCAGTGTTGGTGGGCATGTAAAATGGTGCAGCCGCTGTGGAAAACACTGTGGAGGTTCCTCAGAAAATTAAAAATAGAATTTCCATATGATGCAGCAATGCCACTTCTTAGATGTATACCCAAAATAACTGAAAGCAGGGTTATGAAGAGATACTTGTACATCTATGTTCATAGCAGCATCACTCACAATAGCTAAAATGTAGAAGCAACTCACAAGTCCATCAACAGATAAATGAATAAACAAAATGTAGTATATATATATAATAGAATATTATTCAGCCTGAAAAAGGAAGAAAATTCTGATATATAATATAACATGGATGAACCTTGAGGATATGATGCTAAAGGCCAAATATTATAGGATTCATGTACACAAGGAAACTAGAATAGTCCAATTCATAGAAGCAGAAAGTAGAACAGTGCTTTCCAGGGGTCAGGGTGAGGTGGTACGGGAAGTTGTTGTTTAATGGATAAAGAGTTTCGGTTTGGGATGCTGAAAAAGTTCTGGAAATGGATGCTGATGATGGCTGTACAACATGTGAATGTTCTTAATGTCAGAATGTATGAATTCCAGAATGACTTAGTACTTGAAATTATGTGAGTAAAGGATTTGTAAGTAAACATTAAATCATTATGTGTCTCAAAAAAAAAAAAAAAAAGAAAAATAAAGAATTTCTCAAACAAATAAAAACTGAGGGTATTTAGTGCTGGTAGAAATGCTTAGCAAGAAATATTAAAAGAATTTTCCGGAGAGAAACAAAATGATACAGATCAGAAATCGTAAATGAAGGAAAAGCAGGGTACGGTGTGGGGTACGCCTATAGTCCCAGCTACTGGGGAAGTTGAGGTGGGAAAAGCACTTGAGCCCAGGAGTTTGGGGCTGCAGTGCACTATGGTCATGCCTGGCAACAGCCACTCAACTCCAGCATGGGCAACATAGCAAGACCTGTCTCTAAAAAACAAAACAAAATAAAAGGAGCAAGGTCAGCAAACAAAGGTAAAATAAAATTTTGTATTTTCATATTCTTACTTGAGCTAATAGAAGATTATTTGTTCAAAACAGTAATAGCAACAGTGTATTGGGTAGTTATAGTTTATCAGTAAGTGAAATAAATGACAGAAATATAAGGTACACAAGGGAAAAATTGGGAGTATTCTGTTACAAGGTATCTCTGCACTATCTATTAAGTGGTATAGTATTACTTGAAAGTACACTTAGATTAGTTGTAAATAGATATTAAAAAGTCTAGGGAAAACACTACAAAAATTTTTAAAGGAAGTCTAATTAATATGCTAAAAGAGAATGGAAAATAGAATTACACGAAATGTTCAATTAAAACCAGAGGGGCCAGAAGCAGTGGTTTGTGCCTGTAATCCCAGCACTTAAGGAGACTGAGGTGGGAGGATCACTTGAGACAAGGAGTTCAAGACCAGCCCAGGCACGTTTACAGTTTTGATGAAAAGGGTAATATAAATTTATACTACTATAAGCAATGCATTAATATACTGTATACCCACAAGCACTAGGTATTACAATATTTAAATATATTTGCTAATGTAGTAGCATAAAATTTTTCCCTTTACTAATTTGTTCTTTTCTTTTCTTTTTTGATAAAGGGTCTCACTCTGTTGCCCAGGCTAGAATTCAGTGGCATGATCTTGGCTCACTGCAACCTCCACCTACTGGGCTCAAGCAATCCTCCTACCTCAGCCTCCCAAGTAGCTAGGACCACAGTGTGGACTACCATGCCTGGCTAATTTTTTAATTTTTTATTGCAGATATGATGTTTTGCCATGTTGCCCAGACTAGTCTCAAATTTCCAGACTCAAGTAATCTTTTCACCTAAAACTTATCTCAAAATGCTGGGATTACAGGCATAAGCTACCGCATCTGGCCTGTATTTTTCTTTAACTACAAATAAAAACAAACATTTTCTCATATATTTGTTTGTTTTTACTAAAGAAATTTCAGTTTATATTCTTTTCTCATTAATCTAAAAAAATGAAGTTTTTATTTAACTAATAATAAACTATTAATCTAAAAAAATGAAGTTTTTATTTAACTAATAATAAACTATTTGTTTATTGTTTCTATTTGCTACAAATATTTTCCATACTCTATTGGTTTTCTTTTCATTTTAGTACATCTGTGACACACAGAAAATCTAGGAGCCGGGCATGGTGGCTTATACCTGTAATCCCAGCACTTTGGGAGGCCGAGGTGGGTGGATCACCTGAGGTCAGGAGTTCAAGACCACCCTAACATGGTGAAACCCCGTCTCTACTAAAAATACAAAAATTAGCTGGGCATGGTGGCATGAGCCTGTAGTCCCAGCTACTAGGGAGGCTGAGGCAGGAGAATAGCGTGAAACCAGGAGGCGGAGGTTTCAGTGAGCTGAGATCACGCCACTGCACTCCAGCCTGGGCAACAGAGCGAGACTCCATCTCAAAAAAAAAAAGAGAAAAAGGAATGAAAATTTAATGTTTACTCAGTCAAATCTAACAATTTTCTTTTGTGATTTCTTCTACTATTTCTAAACTTACATAATTTTACCCCATTCAGTTGTTTGAACATATTTTCCTTGTATTTTTCTATGATTCAATGACAATGTTTAACTTATTAATCTCACAAAATTTTGTTTATAGAAAGTTAAAATTTACTGTTTACTATATGAAAGGTGCTATTCTAGATCCTTTACATATGTAGGCTCAGTTAATCCTTACAACTACCCTATATGCAGATTAGGTATTATTAGTATCCCAGGGTATGTGTGTCATATATAAAGGAAGTATAACTGATATACTAAAAGAGGAAGGAAAATATAATCATACAAAATGCTCAATTAAAACCAGAAAGAGGCTGGGCACAGTGACTCACATCTGTAATCCCAGCACTTTGGGAGGCCAAGGTTTGAGGATTGCTTGAGCCCAGGAGTTCAAGGCCAACCCAAGAAACACAGTGAGATCCTGTCCTACAAAAAATAAAAAATTAGCCCAGTGTGGTGGCACATGCCTGAAGTTCCAGCTACTTGGGAGGCCAATGCAGGAGGATTGTTTGAGCCCAAGAGGTCAAGGCTGCAGTGAGCCATGATCGCACGACTGCACTCCAGCCTGAAAGACTGAGTGAGATCCTATCCCAAACATACATACATACTACATACATACATAAATAGTATCCCAATTCCAGAGATGAGGAAACTAAGGGTTAGTATTATTAAGTAATTCAGCCAAATCACACAGGTAGTACAACTGGCAGTACCTGAATATTGGGCAACACAGTTTAATTTGATAGCCTATGCTTTTAACCACTACATTATACTGATACTCAAATTAGCTCAATGCCATTTTTACTAAATAATTCTTCCCTTAGCCATTGTCATGTGATGCCTCTTTTCACTACTGAAACTCTTTT